AGCTAAGTAGTTGAAATGGTCTGCCAGACCAGTTTCTGGTGACAATAAATCAAGCAAACGCAAGAAAAAGTATTTTCGTTGCACTTTCAATGCACATTTGTGCATGCGGTCGCATGTTTGTACGCACATGCAAAGGTGAAAACTTCTAAGTCCATACAAAACAGAGCAGCCCGGTTTATATCTCGCAATTATAGCACTCATTGCAGCGTAACAACATTCAAACAAGAACATTCTATTTCGCCATTGCACGTTCGTCGCTCTGTTGCACTGTTATGTTTGCTGCATAAATATATTCACAGCACAAGACGTTCTACGCTACCCCTAACAGCACCATTGCGCATGTCCAGACGCCTGCACAATCACCTTAGTTTCACTCGCATTTACGGCAAAACGAAGGCATTCAACTTATCAGCGCTTCCTAAGGCCATATCATTATGGAACGATCTTCCCGACTGCATCGCCTCCATCACCGATCCAGATTCTTTTCGCGAACATGTGTGTAATCATTTTTTATCGCACTAATCGCTCTAACTTCACTGAGGTTTGTAGCTGCAGTTGTGCCACTCACCTAGTTTCACACTTCTCTTTGGTTCTCTTTAGTTTTTGCTGTACCCACCGTTGTCTTGCAATTTATATTGGTAAACGCCTTCGTACGGCTAGCAGTATGTGTGTCTTGAAAATTCGTGTGTATGTTGTACACCTTGGCCTTCCGATTTCTCTTTGATTTTTTTTGTTATTGCCATTGTTCTCCCAGTTCTTGTTATTCTCCCTGTTTTTGTTGCTCAGTTGCACCGCCGTTGCTGCTCACTTGAATTCTATACCTACGCCTTCCGAAGTTCTTTATTATGTTTCGTTCATGTACCTTGAATTTCTTGTTATTCAAGCTTTCTGCATATCGGTAAACATTCGCGTATTACATTTGTTTGAGTGTCAGTGACTAGACACGCTTTGTCACGATGTTGTGTTATTTTCTGTGTATTCCATGTTATTGATGACCGCCCTATTACTCTTTGAAGTTTGTACCCCCCTTACTCAATGTTCTCATGAAGCTTGTAAGGTATCATAAATAAAAAAAACATGCAACGTTGAAAACTTCCGGGTTGTGTTAACCCTCCTCCATAACCTACCCCCCCCCCCTCCCCCATACTCTGGCTACGCCAGTTAATATCAGTGTGCGCACACTGTCAGAGTTCGTAACGACCTTCAACCCCGTATTCACTTCCTTTTCTGCGAACGCGCGGTACCGACCGTAGTTGGGGACTGGGCATCCAGGATAGGTGCCCAATAACTTTCTTATTTTCGGTAGGGGGGGGGGGGGGGAGCAATGTTAAAGGACCCCTGACGATCAAATTTGGAAACACTAGATGCTTGTGTTGTTTTATTATCTTGCATGCGGGACCACCTCTGAGCGATTATTTGTGGCGAGCGTAGCTGAGAAGGTGTTTTCATTTGGTTTTAAAGTAGAGGTATGTGCTCTTCCAAGTATTCAGCTGCAATCGACACTTTTCTGTGGTTACATGTAGGCCGGGACTCCCCTTGTGACGTTGCAGGGTCCACATTTCCGGGGCGCGCACTACCCGAATGGCACCCAACTCCCCTCTCACTCTGTTGTCAGCCTACTCTCCAGATGGGTTTGGCTGCTAACACCAGGAATGTTTTCTTTTTTTTTTTTTTTGAGGGGGACACACGCTCAAACCCAACGCATCATTTCAGTCTTCACCGCACGCAGGTCTTAGGCGCTGCTCCACTGTCGGGCGCAAGTTTCTTACAGTGTTAGGCGGGTGTTTTGAACTGACGCGAAATCGTTCTGAATTAACGCCGCTAGCATTAATTATACGATGTGTTGAAACATTTACGATATAATTTTGGCATTGCCAGACGCAAAGATACAAATTACTGTTAAATAACTCTCAAACAAAACTTTCGCTGTTAGGGGTTCTTTGAGGACAGAAAGGACATACGTAAAAGAGTGTGCCCTCTTTCGATAAGCGCATTGCATCTCGCACTGCTGTGCCTTTTCTTTACATAATCTACTTCACACTCAACCTGAAAAATATAGGCAGCAGAAATCGAATAGGCGTCCTTTTTCGGCTCTTGGTCGCTTGCCAAGTCTTTGCAAACGAGTAATACGAGCGTGAAACGTGGACAGGGAAAGCTAAGACGTGCACAAGTGCTTGTCCCCGTCTTTCCTGTCCCTGTCTACGTATTGCGCTCGCATTTCAAAGCGTCATGACTCACCAACTCGCCCAATCAATTTGAAGAGTAAATAATACAGGACGTACGAAGGTCGGCTGCACCACAAATCACCGCGATCAGTTCGTGCTGTGGTGAAGGCGCCGTTTATTCTACACCCTTGCCTAGCGGCTTCACTTATGTCGGTCAAACCTAAACAAAAGTTTCTTAGACATTGTGACCGTGCTAGTTGCAGGGCATCTAGGCATCCAATAATCCGAGACTGTGAGCTCATCTCAATTCAGCAGCACGCTTATACTACGCAGTTCTGGTAGAAAAAAATTTCTCGAGAAGTCGTAGAAGCCCCAAAAAATCGTTAACCTTAAAAACAGCTGGGTCAGTACCCCTGAATTGCTACTAAAGATGTGACTGCAATTTTAACGTACGGCCTACCGCATTGTCCCTTCTATAATACTCAAGTCTTAGCTTAACCTATTCCACGCATATTATATACAGTTTTATTTTTATGATCGTTTTCAGACAACTCGAAACGGCGCAAGATATGATGGTCTGGAAGATCGCAAAAAACTTTACTCGGTGCTCATTCTGTTAAAAAAGCGAATAAGGAATGGGTAACAGCGCAATGGTACTTGACAGATAGCGTAAATCAAATGACCTGAATATGTCGATGAAAAAGTAAGAAGAAATGTTTTCGAAGAAGCATCAAAACCAAGAACAGCATGCGGCAAGAATACAAACTATCGTTGTCGAGTAACACACGTCTCAGACTTTCAGCAGGTAAACAATAGTGACTTCTTTTATTTCCGTGACTTCATTCTGTCTTCTGGTTTTTGTACACGCATTTTACGTAAAAATTAAGCAAAGTCTTCAACAATAAATTAAAAGAAAAAAAAGCCAGGGTACGCTGACCCACACGGAAGGGATAATGTCGTCTGTACACAAACCGGTGATCATCTCTGAAGACTTCGGCGAAAAGCTGCGCCACGTAGGAAGAGTGTCCCGCAGCGCCCACTCAGCAATCACAATATGCAGAGCTCAGTCCAGTAGTGATATGCTCTGAAGTGGCGGCACTGTAAGAGTGAGCCGGGCGCTGACGATGTCCACCGCTGTACAGGCTTGGAGTCAGCACATACAAAAGGTTGCGATCGCCTTCGCGCTTGCATATCTACAAAACAAAATCTTGCATATATATAATTTTTTGTACACCTCTTGCTAAGTTCACACGCACCACACAAGCACTCACACTCACGAAAACACAAACACACCAGCTTCGTCCTCCGGTACACGAGAGGTTCGATGCCCGAGGTGTCTCGATTTTTCTTCCAATTATTGCATGGTATATCCGTATTTGGCACTCGTCGCATCCACTTGCATACTTTGACGGACTTGTCGCGCTAAAGTGAGCTGCTTCTACGACAGCAACGGAAGGAACTTGGTCGGCAAGTCACGTCGACGCGTTTACACAGCAGTTACATTTCCACCAACTTCTCGCGTTTGCATCCGTATGTAAATGGCAGGATCTTGATTAGTGGTCCTGATGCAGGACCGCCATTTCGCCTTGATGAAGTAGAAGCGCTTCTTTCATTCTTTGTTGTTGTTTTTTTTTCTTTGAAGAAGCAACGCACTTCATGTAGACCCATGGTAGAAATGGTCACTGGAAACACACACACAAAAAAGAAAGTCTGTGAGGTTTTCTATAAATTTAAGGCGTCCAGGCATATGCAGACACTGCGCGCCAAACTTTCCTGCTCGACAACACTGATGGAGTATGTGAGCTTCCAACTAAATTGAAGTGCACACCTCCACTTCTTGCACATGTCACATAAGTTCATATGTATTCAAACCAATTTATTGGCACCTTTACTCCACATGTTTTATGTTATCCTATTCTTGTGTCTTGTGATTAATCTTGCCTTAATATCTTTTTATGCCTTCACGCTTGTCGTCCTCAATCTTTATAAGTAACCTTAAGAAAATATGCCTTCGTACCTATGGAAACCACAAAACGTGTTCAAAAAGTCAACGGTTACCCCCGGGCTAGGTGAAAACACACACACATATCCTAAGAATAGCACATACTGTTACGGAAAGTTCCGTCAAATCTTGCAGTCGTGCGTGACAAAAAGGCATTAGAAAGGAAGCACGAAGCCAATCTTTTCTGTGTAGCCCACTTTTCATATTGAAGCCCATGCTCACTCTCTCCAAAACTGCCAGCGCCTGCTGTATCACGTCAAAAAACAGCTAGCATGCCATTGGTCAATGATCGACACAAACGCTGTTGACAGAAACGACGGCGTTGGGTTAAAGTGCACTTTCTTCCACGGGATACCACCCCATGCCGGCGCTGTGCTTTATATACTGCTAACATTGAACCACACTCGCGCAGGGGAACCAAAACGCGAGAGAGCGTTTCATTACGCGTGCTCAAGATCAGGACGCACTCTGAAGTAACTTATTTACGCCAGGCCACTTCTGCCTGCAGCTTTTATGCCGCTCCCAGCATGCTCGTCGGGACGAGAAAACAGAAAAACCACTTAAATGGCATGACAAACTACTGTGAGGGCCATAGGCCGAATTTTTTTCGGGGGGGGGGGGGGGGATGGAAGGGGGGAGGGGCTTATTGAAATGGTGATTTTTCATTTGGCATGCCGTGGCGAAACAAAAAATTCTGGAGGGAGCCGCGGGCCCGGTATGCTCCTCCCTCGCTAAGCCACTGAGTCCTGTACTGCGCGCGTTCTTTTAACAATTCGAGAAAATTTGCAGCAGTGTATTCGTGAGACCGTAAACGAAGGTAATGAGGTCCATAGGGCGATTACTTAGAAAAGTGGTTAAGGGCCCCTCTAAAGAAATATTCCGGCACGTAATAGTCGATTGAATCCTTACGAAAGAGCCAAGCAGCCACTGCGCAACAAATGTCTGATGTACTTGTAGAACAAACAAAAAATAAACTGGAGATTTTTTTCCTACTCACTTTATATTGGGCACTGACTTCTCCGTCCCGACTTACTGCTCTCCACTGTTTTCGTCCACTCTCAGGAGGCGTCAGCCAAGTGGGGAGGATCGTGGTAAATGTGGAAGCTAGGTGGCTTGTATGGTGCACCTGAAAGTAAACAAACAAGTAAATGCAGTTACGAGCTCGTGAATGATAACGTAAAATTAGCACAATACCTATTGAGAATTCACTCACATAACTAGAAAAAAGTAATTCTACGAACATAAAAACTATGCGTGTGTTAATAAGGAGGAGGAGGAAGGACAGCGAAGGTGTGTTAATCGGGCTATGAGTTGAGGCAGGCGCGTTATCACAGACAATCATTATTATTAGATTGTAGCTTTTATGTAAATGCACTGTCGCATTAGTAGGTGTAAGCGACTAGCGCACACTTGTGGTAAACAGTTTTAGAAAAATCGGAGCACCAAAAGTTGTTTTATTGCTGCGCAAATATAAATATCTTGTGAATGGCATTTCACTTCCGTAATGAAGTGAGTACTGAAGCTCAATATAGCTCGCCCAATTCATTGCGTTGCAGACGCTGCTGGACAAGTTTGACTTAAAAAAAAAAACCCGCCACTTAAAAATTTTTAATCGCAATCGACTAGTAAAGACCATGTCCTTCAATTGTCTATTAAACTGCGATGGCCTGCCAAACATTTCTCGGCCGCTTAAAAGTGCTTACCATCATTGCTTTGCATAGGCTGATTATTTTCATCGTGTTCGAGACGCTGGTCATCAAACGTCCTCTGACTAGGCAGGCTTAATGAAAAAAGCTGATTCTGGGGATGTGCTTCTGCAAAACGAAAATAAACATTTCAAGAATAAATATATTGAAGGTCGTGGAACTTTTTTTTTTCGCAACAGTACATTTCAGGTAACAAGACGTCCTTAACGCTTCGTTCTGTCGTACTTACCAGTATTCTTCATCTGATGCGTTAATGTCTTACTCGCATTGGGCGGCAAGTTCGTGACTTTTTGATTTTGCTGGTTATGATGCCTTTCGTGAGCACTGCGCTTGGCACCTGCACATCAATGAGACGGCACACGCTTTTCTTTAAAGCAGAAATAAAGGAGCATTTCTTTTTTCTGCCATTAAGCTATGCCGAGGATTTAAATCTCATGAGTAACGTACACATTTACAAGTTTTAGTGTGAGGCGAAATGACGTCCCTCTCGTCATTAAACGCAATTTTTAGTGGTTAGTAGATATCGCGGGCAATATAATCTACGGCAGCTATCTATCAGCACTATGGCCGCATCTCTGAGTTCGAGCATCATGTACGGAGTGGCTCTCTCAAAATGGTGAACTACGGACCTTGCTCTTGCGCCGGTGTTGTTGTAGATATGACTGAGCCGTTGACTTGGAAGCCGGCATTCTGCGCTGCTCGCGCTACTGCGCTAGCAAAGTCCACCTCGTTGTAGACGGGGTCGTCATAGGAACTTGCGCGGCTAGAGCGGCCGCTGGTGCAAGAGCTGTTGCTCCGCTCCGTCGTGCTGGCCCACGATGGCGCTGCGTAAAGAAGCAAAGAGAAGAACATTACGTAACTTCTAATAAAAACTACTGAGCCGGTACTTATGGAACAGCAACACGCAAGTACCCCGCCACGAGTGACGAGTAACAGTTTTCATTGTAACTGATCGTTATCTTTGTCGGCATCCTTTTTTTTTCGAAACGTAGCGATGACCAATAGCTACACAGGATGTCCCTTATAGTCACAGCTTTACTTTATCAAATACAGTACAACCTTATTTCTCGCTTATTTCTTTATTTTTTGCTGGTCCACGATTCCTGCTTCTTTATTTCTTCCTTCTTTACAAGACCGTCTTTATAACTTGCTGTTAGCTACGCCTCTATACAACCCCGGTTCCTTGAATCACACACCTGTTTTTCTCTCCGCCAACATCATAAAACGTATCTTGTTCACGCATTATTACTTCTTTCCCCTTCAAAACCAGTTGTAGGGTGTAAGCTATTGTCTAGACAACCTTTTACCAAAATAATTTTGAGACTATTTTTGCTTTCGATGAGTTAGAAGTAACGTAACTACCCTGTTATGCTGCGAGCGCCAGTTTCAGAACGCAATCTCCTTGTTTCCCTCAGCTAACGTCGGCAAGCGGCACTTCGTTCCTCTGTTCTTTCATGTGACGTATTAGTGGGACTTGCATACTGGTGGGGGTGGGGGTAAATCTACGCAGACGTTGTGTTCTCCGAACGGCAGAGCGTGGCCACGCACTCTCCATCTTTGCAGGGTTAAGGCATACTTTCCAGCTAAGCCAAACACAAGGCATGGCAATTCTACCCCGCAAGGACAAATTCAGTTGATAGTCAACACAAGCTCACATGAAAACATGCAGTGATGCTGTCAATAGATAAATCGTGGTAAAGTTGCCCCAAGCTCTCTTTTTTTATTGCTCGTAAATATGAAGGCGTACTAAACTTCGTGGCAACAAATACTAACCGTGGCTTGGTGCATAATCTGTGTCTCCGGCAATGCTGGACTCTATCGAACGCGGCCGTGTCATTAGTTCCACATCCGAGTCAGCATTTGTGGGCTCGTATATGTAACCTACGAAAAAAAACACAAAAAAAACTTGGCTGATCCTTCCATATAAAAATCGATATAACGACTAAGTAAAACGTGTCTTTGCAGAGGTAGTTGAGCGTTTATTGCGCATTGTTTCAGCAACAGCAACAAATTGCTAAGACGCGTTAGGAACGGCAAGCAGCTCGAAACTTGCAGCGCGCACTTCAAGCAGAACGCACTAACGAAATTAGCATACACAGGAGGAGTGCGGACTAACAACTGTCACATTTCTTCCTGCGTCGTGCATCAGCAGCGCGCTCCTTTCGCTACCGCGGCCGTGGCCGCTTGCGAAGTGACCTTCGTCTTTTCCCGAATTACTAGTCTGATAAGTGCGCGCGCAGAAGATAACACACTCCAAGGGACCATGGGGGTGGGACTTCGTGGAGGCGATGACCTTGAGAGCTCGTCGAACACGAGATCGTCACGCCATGTCGCCACTGATAACAAAAACGCGCTAAAGTTTCGAAGCTATGAAGATTGCCAAATGGTGTATGGTGTATATAAATGGCTTGCCGTTAGCCCTCCAGGCAAATACGTTTTGTAGCGTAGTAATGAACGCCGAGGATGGAGAAGCTGCTGGTTCGATCCCGCGCGACGTATGTTAACCCCCTGATTTTGTTTTTGCAAGTTCTTAGTATATTTTTTTTCAACATCACTTCCGCGACGGACGTCAGCGGAGCCGTGGTGAACGCCGACATAAAACACTTTCGTGTTAAAAAAACAGATCTGAGTTGGGCGAACATTGTCGTTTCTTATTTCATGTCCAAACTTCCTTGACGCTTAAAATCTACATTGCACCATCTTTCCTAACTCTGTGCGATGTATCAGCTGCATTTATAAGAGGGCCATAATCTAGCACTTGTGCTTGGTGGGAAAACACATCCTGTAGATAGCATACACCGCTATGAACATATCGACCAAATTTCGCACTCATGTGTGGCAAAGAGAGCTTACCAGCGTTGCGCGAGGGTGCTATTTTTTCGGGCACCAGTTTTTTTTATACAGCGGCCTGGGCTAACTGCTTTCGGAGTTGGCAGCACCTACTGTTTCACTACGAACAAAATATATCATGCGTTTGGCCAATATGCGAGAAAATCGAGAGAGGTGGTTAGATCCGATGTGCTCCTTGCCACGGAATGCCCCGAATTGCCGGCACGACGCCTCATAGTCTGCTAATATACAACGCTGTAGCCACACTCACGCACAGGAACCTCCACGAAAAAAAAAAGCGACAGCACTCATTACAGTGCTCAAGGTCGTGACATGTTCTGACTAAATTTCTTTTCTCCCGTGCTACCCACCCCTGTGCAGCTACCACCGAACGTGTCGGTACGCGATCAGAGAGCACATAAAGCGTGTGACAAATCAGTGCGGCTCCGCACAATCTCAACGTATTCGACAAATTTTCGCGGCGATCGACTTGCGGGTTAATAAACTCCGACACCAGCATCATTTCATGATTACTTGGAGAAGTGGTTCAAAGCATCTTCAGCACTAGTTGATGCAACGGGTTCGGTAGAAGAGTTCGTTTCAAGTTTCTTTTTGTTTTAAAATTATTGCTCGCTACATTCTAAGTTCATTTTGTGTAAGGGACGCAACTTTTTCGTTCGTTTAGGTACACGAAAAAGCACGCACTATGCTACGACACACTTTCAACAGACGTCGATGCTTGTACTCACCCTGGGCGGCGCCGAACCGATATCCTGTTGGGTCTGTGACAGGGATCGAAGAACGGGGCTCACTGATGAGTGATGGCAGCGAGGACTGCACTCCCCTGTCTATGAAAGGGTTGCTGAACAGCTGCTGCTGCTGCTGATTTGGCTGCTGCTGTGACTGCTGGGGCTGCAGCGGTTTCAGAAGGGGCCTTTGCCCCTTGGGAAAGAATGGCGGGACGTTTTGATAGGAGTCGCCATAGGAGCTCCCTAGGCTGTTGCTGGATTGGTTCATGATGCTCCTTGGGGAGTGCGTTTGTACTCGAGGCTGACCGTGTGCTCCCCTCATGTTGGACATCGGTTGTGCTCCGTTTATTTGAAACTGAAAAAAAAAGTTTGTTGTACTGCGAGAGATGGAAGCAAAATAGGCGACGAATAAATAGACCCATGCTTTTCGTTCAGAAGCTGAAGGACATGGCAGATGCTGTAGTGTACAGGCAAACATGAGCGTTCATTTATTTTTAGCAGCCTACCTAGGCTAAAACAGGACTTAGTTTTCATGTCTATTTCATGCATTGGTTGGATATATACTCAATATGCATATGCACAGTCATGCAATACACACAGCTACCACTCAAGCGAAACCCTCTCCCCAAAGCCTTTGAGGCACTGTTCATATGCTCATTTTATTGATAGCTCAATCAAAAGGCCCGTCTAACTAAACTGCCCTTAATGAAAAAAACCGTAAACAGAGAAGTTGTTTAACAAGATTGAGGTATGAAATAACATACACTGGTGCTTCCTTTAAAAAAGACACACCATAACAAATATGAGGTGCATCCCTAGGTCACCTATACTGACAATCAATATTTAAAAACAAAACTATGCTGGGAATAGAAAGTATTTCTAATTATCATTTTGGTGTTGCAATAAATGCTTATCGAATGCCAGTTGGTTACCACTCCAAATTTAGAGCTTCCACTGCATGCGTTGTACTCAATGCACGCATTCTAACAGTGCTCACCTTCTGCTTGAGCTGCGCATTGCGAGGTGGCGTTCCTCTAAGGCAGGCTGGAGTACCAGTTGGAGACCCAGCCTCGCTGGGTGGTTGCTCAGGCGGTGGAGGAATAAGTTCGGACCAATTCATCATTGGTCCCTTGGACGAAGACCCTCCCCGAGAAAATTTTTGGCGGCACTTTTTGATAGGCATTCCATACTCATCTGAAACGACAGTGATACCACGGCGTTGAAGGTACACTTCTGTTCTAGCGCAGTCTTTGGCCGCAGTGATTGTGCTTCTAAATACTAAGCCCCATATGAATACTAAATACTAATCCCCATTGTGTGTATGCGTCATACGGCTTCTCAGGGTGTTCTGAGCTATTAGCAGTACAAATAATGACCAATTAGATCAAAAGCGCTGTTATAACCGTTAGAAATATTTACAATAAAAATGGTCGAAGCTCTGAACGCTCATCAAAATAAAGAAAAGCAAGAAGTTGAGCATAAAACAAAAATTGCTCAACGGAAATGCGTTATGCACTCGCAACATTTCCCAAGTAAAAATTTCATTGTAGTAAGAGTAAGTTGTCAGAATTTCAAAGTTGTACGGAAAGCACAAAATGTATTGCCTCTGTGACCGCTCTAATTAAACAGCCACATGACACCTCTTATTGTTTACATGGCTGGCATATTATTTTCAATAAAACAGTTGTTCTTGTGGTCAGATATATATGCTGTACACAGTTGAAATCAACTCCGACATACTGTGAACAAAACTATTACCTGTTGTGTAGCTTCCCGAGTCACTTGCTGGACTGGCAAGCTTGTCAGAATCTAGCAGCCTATCTGTAATACCATCTGCAAAAATTATCAAAGCACTAAGGGTTAACTTTACTGCAAAAAAGCATCATAATGGTTAAGCTGTTTTAAGTAATAATTTGGCATCATGAGCCAGCTGAAAAGAAAAGAAACACCAATGCCCACCTTCACTCGCGCGCGTGAGCTCCAAGTCAAAGCCCTTTTCAGATTTCCGGCTTCCTTCCTCGGCTGAGCTACCACTGCGAGCATCCTTAGCCTGAGATGGAAGAAAAAAAAGAAATAAGGACTCTTGATTCTATTAGAATCGTGAAAATCCGAAACAATTGATATGTAGAAGACATATTTCGATCAGTGGTGGTTCATAAAATTATTCAATAAAACATTTCGCAAACAGTTGAAAAAAAAAACATTCGTTATAATCGCCGAGTATCAACTAGTCAACAGACGTAGACGCCACACTAAAATGGGTGGATTTTTCATGGTATAGTATTTAGCGAAGCGCTGTTAGTGCTACATTTCATGACCTAGAACTTGCTTTCCGTGCTTGATTGCCGATTTTCCAATATATACCACTGCATTACAAACGAACGTTTTTTGTCCGCCGCTACATAAAACCTTCGTGGAAAGTATGTAGCTAAGCATTTTTTTTCTAGTTCGCATTCCAAATCCACCAATATACAAGACACTTTTTGACGGTTTATCATGTGTATGATCATAACGCTAAGTGTCTCGATGAAACAACTGATTTAACTACACAGTTAGTGCGCTCTCCCAATATTAAGAAATGCCGATGTGGTAACAGATGAATCAACACGAAAAGGTGTTGCCGCGTTACTGAGAACGCACGTACGAGATGTCTCAAAAAAAATTATAAAACCACTAGGCCTACGCAGAACACACAGCACAGTCATAGCGAAAGTTGTGAGCGCGACCTTTGCAGAGCTTTTTCTAAACACTTCTTGGGTAACTGCTACAGGCATATTCGCAGGGTACCCTACGCAATATTATTAAATTTCGTGTAGCAGGCAGGCACTCACTACGCTATCCTTAGGCGTTCTTGGGAGAAGCGTGGTATCCATGATACACTTACAAGGAATTTCGCGCAAATTTTTACGCAGGAGCTGACGACGATAGAGAATCATACCTGAAGTGGGTATGCGTGACAATCGATAGTTGAACAAGAACAAGCTTTTGTAATGGGTTGAAGCATTGGCCGACCCACTCGTTACGCAATTCGCATTGTGAGACGCCCAGTTGTCCCTTTGCTTCTTTGTGCTGAAGCACTTTACTATGCTTATACTAACGCGATCCCTCTCCCATCAGGAAGTCTGCTAGGGAAAGTTCGCGACGAAATTTCAAGCGTCGTCATGACTTGTCGGTAGAATACTGGACTGGCACGCAGGCTACCCGGGTTTGAATGCCGTTGTGTCTTTGGTGCCTTTATTTGCTAACATTTTTTTTTCTTATTTCGTGTGACAGTAGTTAAGGGCCCCTGCGGCGGCGGCGGACAACAACGGCGCACGCGACTCTTGTTGCGATCTCATAACAGCCTTCGCTGCTATATAGATGCCTATACACATGTCTATTCAGAAGATTCAGTAACCATTGACAATGCATGTCTTGCGAGAATTATCCAATCCTCCTGGAGTCTTTGGCGTCGGAGCTGTTTAAGCTCGAGCTTGGTCCCTGTGTCGTTCGCTTAAAGCTACTCAGGCGGATGTGCGTCACAGGAACTGGGCGAGCCCCCCCCCCCCCCCTCACTACTATGTGCAGCAGGTGCGAGGGAAAGCAAAAACAGTAGAAGGAAGAGCGGCAGTGAAGAAGAGAGGCGGATAGTAGGAGGGGAGGAGGGAGATCTAGGTTTAAGTCCGCAGGGGTGAGAAGAGAGTAAAGCCAAGTAAAACGAGAAGGGCTCAGGCAACGAGTCGGTGGAAGGTTGGCGGGAGTGTTACGCGAAATCTTTGCTGGTTGAAGTGGAGAGGAAAAGAAAAGGAGATGAAAAGAGGAAGGAGGAGGAAATGTGAAATTAATATTTTCGGTGAGGCAGTAATTCAACACGGGCGCGCACAATCAAAGGCGACCGTGGCAAACAACCCGGCCACCCAAGCACGCTAATACTACAAGTAGTTACGGGAACCTTTATGACTGCTTTTCCATTGGCGAGAGAACGAAAAAAAAAACGCAAGGATAAAAACTTTGGAAGGAATCAAAGAGCAAAAGAAAAAAAAGGATAGCATAGCATGTATAGTGTAGTCTAGCTGTGAACTGATGAAGGCAATCAATCAGGGGCTGTGAATGGAAATTGAAGAGGAGGAGGGAAGGAATTGGGCAAGAGTGTAAAGCGTAGCATAGTTATGAATATCGCAGTATAGCAAGGACATGGGAAAGGGCTGCGAAGGTTAGGAGTGATGTGAGACTCAGGAGGAGAAAAAAAATGAGAATACGGCTATCAGCTCTGCTTTTTCCTGTCTTTGCACCCCTAGCGCATAGCCGTCACAATATTTTTCTACGAAGCTGCCTTCAGTAGTCATAACTTCATCGGGTGAAAATGCTTCGAATAAACGCACCTCTGCGTTAAAATAGTGCGACAATACCATTTCACTTACAGAACCATTTAGGCTCTTCTGGAGTGATGGGTTTATCAACGTGGTTGTTGCATAGGGCTCTGGGATTGAGGGAAGGTCTTTCTTGTAGAAAGTTGTCATGCTTTGGGCATCTACTTCTGCATAGTCAGGCGCATTGATCCCACAGTTTAGAGGTGCATAGACACTGTAAATGAAAGAAATGAATAACAATGTTATCACTCGGTAAAAACACTAATGCGCATCGTGAAACTCGCGTATTTCCATTTTATATCGTTATGTTGACAGGCCGTTGAGGCGCATATTTATTTTGGCCCATTCAAGTACCTCCTGGGACACGTTAACATGTTTCAAATGGTGTATTCATCTCCAAAGCTTTGCACAATTTAACGTTTTTCGTCACCTGTACTTTGGATTTACGGTTCATTGGTAGCAATTTTGCTGTGCAGAAAGCAGGCAAATGGTGCTGTGAGGCCCACGGGACGGCTCTATGCTCTCCCATTGTACAGTACCAAGTACTCAAAATCTTTAACCACTTTTTTTGAAACACTTTTCGTTATTATACGTGGGCTTCTTTCGGCATCGCGATGTTCGACGCCAACGAACGGCTTTTTACTCTTTCATGGCAGAGCACATCGTACTCTAAATCGTTAAAAAACTCTTTCTACACTACACACAGACTAAAATATCAGCTGAAAGCACCTCCTGATAACGATGCAATTTCCATTGAAAAATCCTCTGGGAATGCCACGGATAATATTATACAGCATTGCTTATGCGAACAGCAATATTTGCAGGTTATCATAACGGTTACATGCTAGGTTTAAGCATATTATTGACATGCTGGGAAGCAACTCACCTAGAGTAATTAAGATCATTCGTAGCACAGCTCATTTTGTTAAGAAGCTTGGTTTCGCAAAAGGGGTCCTTGGATTGGTCAGAGGTTCTCCAGGCACTATGGTTAATCCACAAGGCTTCGTGAGGACTGAGGCCAGGACGGCCATTGAGGGAATTGAAGCAGTTGCTGGGGGTTTAGGGGGGAAGCAAGGAAGTCATTGGTTCGTTATTTTCACTAGTCTGGTTTGTCAACACATTTTTCTCTAAGCATGCAACAGGCATGCCAAGTGTAAAACAGTATGATTAAAAAGTAGTAACGCAAACGCAAAACCTTAGTAAGCAGAATTGCTTACCTGATGTCTTCTTGCTTGTGCACAGGAACTAGGAAAAAAATAAGGAAAAAAAAGGAATTGTACAATGAAAATAGACAGTATTAGAAGACAAAATAGTATGTATGGGACTTCTTTTACAATGTAAAGTGTGGAGTTGATAGCAGACATACGGTATATCTAGCGATTTAAATTAACTGATTGAATACTTGATTTATTTATTCGTTCCTTCATTCATTATTTTCTCGGATATTAAGGTGTAGGTGTTGGGTGCATGGGCTTTCAACAATATCATTGATTGATATGTAAGGTTTAACGTCCCAAAACCACCATATGATTATGAGAGACGCCGTAGTGGAGGGCTCCGGAAAGTTCGATCACCTGGGGTTCTTAACGTGCACCCATATCTGAACACACGGGCCTACAACACTTCCGCCTCCATCGGAAATGCAGCTGCTGCCGACGGGATTCGATCCCGTGACCTGAGGGTCAGCAGCCGAGTACCTTAGCCACCTTGGCGGGGCTAGTGGCTAATCAATATCAGGAAACTTTGGTAGACGAAATTATAGAAAATTACACGAGCAAAACAGAAGAAGTCACGCTAAGGCACGAGACTGACAAAAACGTAAAAGAAACCCATCTTTCATGCTTGCGTGCTTACCTGTAGTGAGTGATTTTGCATGTTGCAGTCTTCGTTTTCGTATCAAAAGTAGGACGAAAATTGTGACAGCCACGAGCAGCAAGAATCCAAAGAGTGCAATGAACCATGACTGTGTTACGATGTTTTGAAAAGGTGTAGAAAGCGATGTCGATTCCGCTGGGCTTTCTGTAAAGAAGAAAACAGAATTCGCAGCCTCGTGAACCTCTGGATGTATTCAAAACAATTGTCTCAGCTACGTTTTTGTGCTAGTGTTATGTATTACATAGCTGTGCCGCTGTTATGATGCTGGACCATTCTTTCCTCGGTAACTTCCCTGCCATTTCATCACCCTCTCATCCTCTTGATACGTGAAAAGCTTGTAGTGACGGCATATTCAAACTGGATTTCGTAAGTTGTACTTAAAAGACCCCTGGCAGCGAATGTTTTGGTTTGCAGCATTTTCTTAGAAAATTGTAGATCTGCGTCTGGCAACGGCAAAATAAAATCCTAATTGCATCGTATAAGTATTGTTAGCATTTTTAATTCAGAAATAATTTGCGTCAGTTCGAAACGCCCGCTTTGATACCATAAGAAACTAGCGCCCCACAGCGGGGCAGCACCTCAGACTACGTGTGCTCAATCTTTAGTGACGCCGAACGCGCTGTTTTCATTGAGCTGAACCCGCGGGAGGTGAAGAATGAAACGGTATAGGTGCTTTGAGCGTGTCCCCTTCTGAAAACAGAAAGTCACAGTTTCGCCAAAAGGGCAAAGCAATGAATGCGATAGCAACACATTCGAATGTTTTACGAAGCAAGGTTAGAATATTTAGGAGCAATAATATTTGTAGTAAACATTCGCTTGCTAAGCAACCAGGTTTCCTGTGGCGCGACCACACAGTAGATGACCACAACAAGGCTCGTTGCGTAGTGATGGCGTTGATATACGAAGTGAGGCTGGCAGTCAACTCAATTATACACGATCTCACGTAACACTACAAAATGCTGGTGTAAGAGAACACGGCCGCTCCAGGTATAATTTTGGCACCGTTTTGTGTGTGTGTGTGTCTGTGTGTGTGTGTGTGTGTGTGTGTGTGTGTGTGTGTGTTGTGTGTTGTGTGTGTGTGTGTGTTGAGAGCGCCACCCGTAGAAGCTCCCGCCTGCTGTGGAGGCGCAAGGCGCGCGCTGATCGTTGCCGCGATAGCACGGTGACAATATGCGCCCCCCTCCCCCCTGTCCGCTGGCGAGATAAGCGCGCGCGCAGACAAGCTCGGCCGGAAAGGCGATGTTCACTTCGCAGGAAAAGGAGGCTAGCGCATACTTTTCTGTTTATATATACATACATATGCATATAAGTAATTGATGGCGGCGGCGATTGAAAAAACCAGCCGGGACGGTTTATAAATTGATATCGTGATGAAAGATATTCCTATCGTTAGTAGCCAAAACTACTTTGATAGCCGCTAACAACAGAGCGTGAGGGGTGACGAACAATAGCCTTCGCCATGTGCCGGCCGGGAATACTGCGCGCCCCGCAAATGTTTTCTGACGCCGACCATACTTGCTCGGCCTCAGCAACATTACGAGGGGCGTCTGCCTACGGCACACCCCAAAAAAAAATGTCCACTGAATCCTAATAATCCTATGATCATGCACCCTTACTTTAAAACCAATTTCAACTATTTTATAGACTCCACTCGCTACTAATAATCGGCTAAAAGTGGCCTCGCATGCAGGACTATCCAACAGCACAATCATCTCGAGTATCCAAATTAGGTGTCAGGGGTCCTCTAAAACCGTGGCCTTGTAGCACATTAGTAACACAGCGTTACACTTCTTCTTACTTCTGTTCTTTTTGTAGAGTCTATCTTATGGCATGCATGTTCACCTCTTCTAGACTGTAACCTTGTTGAGCGCTGAGCCCACGGTATAGATGTGCGTGTTAGTGCAGTGTAGTACCACGTGACTGCACCCCAATTTAGGTGCAATAACCCCTGCTTAGCATAAAAAGACGCTCATTACGTTCATAAAATTCAGGCTGCACGAAAGGCGATGCCAGTAATTATTCATGGTACTTTTACAAAATTGCCGGTAAAATGCCGCAGCTCACCCATTTTGAAGAGCACGGCGCTGCTGGCTGGTCCACCACCCATGGTAGTCAAGGCGACGACGCGTGCTTCGTAAGAAGCTCCCGTCTTCAGGTTGTTTAGCGTAAGGCTGTTAGTCGTAGAGTTCGTGCTCTGATTGAAGTGAACATTGGAAGAGTTGCCGTCCACGTACACCTGTATACAAATTATTCGTTCTTTCAGCCTTCCAAAACTCATGCAGTCCCATGTCTCTTATCATGTTCGCTCTTCATGACCCCGTCATGCAGTCGTTAGTTTACGAGAATTGAGAACGAATGCAGCGCGTAGTTGTCACTTCTTCGACAAGCATAACACCAAACCCATAACTTATATTGAAGCCCTGCGTGCATTGATCTTGACCGTGCATCAACATTTACCTCATCACCCTGAATCCATATAGTTGCGCGTCACGAGTGTTCACGACGTCTACAAATTATGATCCTTAATTACGTAACGAAATGACGCAATCAGTGAAAATTTACGTAGTGTTTTAGACGTAAATGGTGGCGTCGAAACATGCATCAAGTTCAAGAGCGCACGACAAAATTGCTTACGTAATATCCTCTCAGCCTTCCGTTGCGGTGCTGAGGCGGTGGAGGAGACCAGAAAATGGTCGCCATGGTGCCGTTCACTACTTGCACTTCCACGCTTTCGGGTGGCGCAGATGGTACTGTGGAAAGAGACGATGTGACGTAAGCACCCGGTGTGCTGATATTTCTTCGAGAAGAGCAGCAAACAGTTTGCCTCTTTGGCTGCGTACCTGGGACGAACATGTTGATTACATCGCAGACAGAAAAGAGCCCCCCTTCCCCCCCCCCCCCGGCCTCCTCGGCAGTACCTTACACGACTTGCCAACGCAATAGACTATCCGAAGAATCAGTGTTGTCATATACTTCATGGCTTCCTCTGACCCTATTATTTGTTTCCATAATTAGTTAGTTAGCTACCTAAATAAACTGTTTAAAAGAAGTATATAAATAAAGCCATGTTCCGGTGCTTTTCGCTGTACCGGCGCACGATTTTCATATTGTGGGCTTTAGTTTATCATGTCACCCTTCAGCTGTTTCTTAGCAGTACCGTCAGCAAATTGGCAGGGGTCCACAGAAGAAACGGAAAAAAAACGGCTTATAAGCGGAACAAACTTTACGAACTCTGGAAAAAAGTGCGAATGAACACCAGGGTGCGTAAATACATACATGCATACATACATACATACATACATACATACATGCATACATGCTACTACATACATACATACATACAAATATATACATACATATATACAATACATACATACATACATACATACATACAACATACATACATACATACATACATACATACATACATACATACATACATACATACATACATACATACATACATACATACATACATACATACATACATACATACATACATACATACATACATACATACATACATACATACATACATACATACATACATATACCGCGGGTACAACTAATTTAAACATACCATCTTCCATGGTCTGAACACTCCTCGAGTTACTTGGTGGGCCTTCAACGCTTCTGTAGAATGGCACAAGAAAGAACTCGTACTTCGTGAACTTCTTCAGGTCGTTGAGTACGTATGAGAGTGCTCCGCCATTTAGCACGGTCACCATGTTGTATTTTTGCGATCCTCCACTCATGTCTCGAAACCGAATATAAAAGCCCTCCACGTAGTCCCTCATTCCCTGGATCTGTGCGAGAGAAAAAAAAAACGGCAACTCATTAGGACGAACAGAGTTGTTTTTCAGCAGTGCTGGAAACGGTGCCAGTACAGAAATAGTGCGAAGTCAAAGCAGCTGCACAAAAAAAAAAAAAACTTGCGCTTGGTACCATCTACGTGAGTAATGCTTTCTGGTGCACTTCTAAGGACTTGATGTAAACCTTTTTTCTCAAGATACGTGTAATAGAAGCATATTGTTTGGTTCACTTAATACGATAGGAATACATGCATAAAATACACTGACTGAGTTAAAATCTTGAATCATTGCTGAATGGCGTTAGATGCTATGCATGCCCAATACACCAACAAGCATATGCATCACCACTAATAGTAAGCGAGAGGTATCGTAAGTGGACTTCACCATGCCAGTAAAATATTGTTCCACCCACTTGAAGTTAAAAGATTCAACTATTATGCACTTTCCCGTTTAGGTACCAGCATTCTATTATCCTTATTTGCCTCTGTAAATGGGAGTAAAGGGCCACAATGTATGACAAGAATATCAGAGGCGCGAACTAAAATTCGAGTTATTTCTGAGCAGTTTACAAAAGATTGCCGCAAGTGAAAGAATAGCAAAAGTTCATGAAGTAATGGGGAGTACCTTCCAGCTCAACTTGACGGCTGTTGAGCTTACAGCGCGTATGTCTTGCAGGGATACGATGCATGCGCTGAGCTTCGCGCGTGCCTCGTCAAGGTTGAACTCCGGGAGAAAATGAGGCGCCATTCCTGTAAAAAAGAAATACAAGTAAGAAGAGTTACTCTCCCATATTGCTTTTATCTTGATCTACAGAAAAGTCATGTGCTTGCCGTCTTATTCAGCATCACGTTTAATCAAGCTCTGCGTTACTCATATTGTAGATTTTTCGTATTTTAATAGCATAGATAGTTTTGAATCTATCTTAGTCGGGTACTTATTTTTCAAAATTATTTATTTTCACCTACACCTAGCGGCGCTTCGTGCGTTGCCTGCTTGCACCCAACAGCATTTTTTGCGCATTTGGTCACCCTACATTCATTGAGAATCAAAATTTAAATAGAGTGTAAAACAGCGCTTCGAGACAAGAACAACAAAAATGAATATAAGTGCACATACACAGTACTGACTAAAAGTCAATTTATTATCACTTGGCCAACAATAAATATTAGCCCATATGTGACGTCGTAGAAACAGCAAAAGGAAACGTCCCCAGTAACAGGTTTGTCAACAAGCCCACTCGCACTTAGCCCTCGAAGAAACAGTGTGCTTTCTTTGGAAGGGCAAGAGAAAGGCAGTTGACATTTTTTTTCTTTTTGTTTGTCCCGCATCGCCACGCCGTTTGTCGAGGTCGGTATGTGTCAAATAAACCGCCAGCAATGAGTGTTCTGAAAACTAGTATCCGAGCCACATATTTTGTGAGCCAGTCCTTGTTTAGTCCTCTCAAACATTGCGCCGGAGCTTGAAAGTTTATATTAAGCTCAAAGTCTGCGCTCAAAAAAGTCACAGCTTTGTCACTATGGCGGAGCAATGAATGCGATAGCAACAAATGTGAATGCCACGCGAAGAATGGCAAGCAGATGTAAACATGTCGCACGTTGCTCACGCACAAATGACGCACGTAACCTACTCACAGGCACAGATGAACGAGAATAAGTATCTCAGTTGTTACTTCGCTGTGTCTGAAAAGCGCGCCCCTTTTTGCAAACGGACACTGTGCAGTGAGGGCAGTGAACTTTGTGCGCCCGATAACTACAACAGAATCGTTCCGGCGCAAGACCAAGGCGTACGATTCTCCCGACCGTCAAATAAGCCCGCGTATGCTCTCGCATACGCGCGCTTATCTGCCGCTGGGGAGAATCGTTGCGGAGGAGGAGAGGCGTCCTACCCCTCCCCTCCTCCGCAAGGAAAAGTACGCACGAAGATGAACGCACGAGCGCGCGTCGCTGCGTAGCGACGATCTGGCGACGCGCGTTCGTTGCGCCATCTCGCTGGTACTGCGGAAAACATGGTATTCCCCCGAGCTCGGCGTTGCCAGCGGTAAGTGGTAGATATAAATAGTTTGTTTCGGGGAGGTGTTCCTTCGTGGCTCAGTGGCTAACACCACGAGGTACGAGTCTTTTCTGGATCATGTTTTTTTCTTCCGTTTTAATATATATAATATATATATATATTATATATATATATATATATATATATATATATATATATATATATATATATATATATATATATATATATATATATACGGTGAATGACGGTGGTCACCGGCGCCGGTGGCGAAATCTAACCGAGAGTTGCTATCGAAAAACATCTGGCCTCTACGTCCGTATTAGGATGGAAGTGTGACGCAAGTATGCTCATCTGTCTAAAAGTAATCGTCAAATTACTTTTAAGCAATTCCTAAAGGCTTCTTTCATATGCCACCTTGCACTTGGTAAAGACAACGAAGTCTCGCCGCTTAACAGCGTTTAGCTAGACATGCTTCATTTGAAAGTCACACTCACCTAGAGTCCGTATAGGTTCAGAAACAGGGCTGGGGACTCCTTGTCCATGAGAATTTTCGGCTCGCACGATGAACACGTAGCGTGAGTCGGGTCGCAAAGCTTGTATGGTGTATTTCTCAGAAAGCACTCGATGGGCTGCCAGGACCCACCCACTTTGCAAGTCACTGCTGTAATATTCAACTGGAAATGAACAGGAGTGAAGTTGTGTTACCTTTCCTGTTCTTTCCAGAAGATATCCTAGTGATGGTTAATTAGCTACTTCACGTGATAAAGAAAGAATGATTGAATTACGTAGTACACTGTAAGGGTTCATCATTATCTATCAAAACTACTGCGAAACAATTAGTTATCTGTTTTGATTGGTCATGAAGTGCCTACTTCGGCCATTGATAACCTGGGCTAGCATTCCTTTTCTCCTTGTTCAGTTTTTTGTTACAATATTTTTATGTAACCACCAGCAACTCACTTGTATATCCTTTGAGTGATGAAGCACCCACTTTCTCACTGCGTCTCCAGGCAAGCGTTATCGATGTTTCTGTTGTATTTACGGGCACCGGCTGTGAAGGAGGACCAGGGAACGTGGAGGGGTCAGGGGATCGATGGAAATTGACGTTGGGGTTATGCGGAGATTCAATACTGAGCGACGCTGTCCAAGACGTCTCGCCGCTTTCACTCGAAGCCTTGCAGGTATACGCTCCGCTGTCCAGCATTTGCAGATCTTTGAAGGAAACAAGAATGGCACGAATAAGACATCCCCTCGTGAAGATATTTCAGCAATCGGCAAGCATTATGACGTTGGAAAGAAGTCAGTACTAATAAGTGTACTGATTTGAACATCAAGTTTGAACCACTTTTATCTACTGAGTCTTTTATAGCGACGGCTAGTTACTGCAGGCGATTGAAAAGAAACGATCACGGTTTTCGGCCGTCCAGTAACCACCGTCTAAGGCGTGAAAATCATTTGCACTGGTCTATGTTACATTTCGTTCAAGGGCTGAACGCAGAAAGAACATGAAGAGGCAACGAGTGTGATCTCCTCTTTTTTTGTCCTTTCATTTAGTACTGTAACATTGAGAACAATGCGCCACAAAATATCCCACCCGCAAACATTCTTGGCGTGCCTATCTGCTTTGCGAATGCTCTAAATTTTTCGACGGTTCCATGTACTTACCCTGTATCTGAAGCGTTCCGGACTCCAGAAGCGTGTATCGGGGCCTTTCATCTATCCTTAGCGGAGCCCCGTTGTACAGCCACTGCACGGTGGGCTTGGGCGTACCAGTCGCATCGCAGGGCAGTTGAGCGGCCGTGTGCAGCGGCAGAGTCTGGTTGGCCGGTCCGAGTCGTATGATGGGAGGTGGAAGGTCGGCGAGCGCTGTCACCTCCAGGTGGCCCTTGGCCATGCTTGAGCCCACCACGGACAGCGCCGAACAGACGTAATAGCCACGGTCCTCTTTTCGCACACCGGTGATGGTCAGAGTTCCCTCGTTGCTCACCGAGAAGCGGCCATGTGACTTGCCCGGAAACATCAGCACCTGCGTGGGCAATATGGCAGCGCAATGGAGACTCGATGGTTTGTTAGCAGCACGGGTTTTTTTTTTGCGCTCATTAATAACAATGCTGTCAACGACAGTGGTACTTTATTTCGACAAAATGAGAATCGCTTCCAGCAGCAAGAACCGGGAAACGTTGGTATTTGACTCCAGTATACGGAAACCGACATGCTTGGGCCAGCTGGCAACCAAGTCTCATTTTTCATCAACCACTCACGGGGAATATTTATTGCCGTATCACAAACACCAAACCAGCAAAGAGAAACAAGCAGTTCCTGCTTGCAAATGCGTAACTGTGAAACCTTAAAAAACTTGGCAAACCGCTGTACGTATATATATATAACTACACGACGCGCAAGTGTTCCCTTGCGGGGAGCTTACGGAGCATAGCGCTTCAGTGTGAACGAGTGGTCACTTATCAATGTCTGTCATGTTACACAAATGGCCTCCAGTCTGTCGTACAGATTACTGAAATAAAAGTAATAGCAGAGTTGTAGAGACACTAACCTGGTTGCCTTCCCGGGTCCAGAACACGGAAGGTGGGGGGTTGCCCGTCGCAAGACAGTCAAACTTGGCGACGCCGTTGAGCCCCACTTTCTGGTTCTGGGGCGTGAGGCGGAATGTAGGACGTGCTATAATGTGACAAGAAGGAAAAGAACAGATAAGTTTTCACAGTTTTCTCATAAATACGTCCCTTGACAAAACTTTGGAGACCATTGATCTAAGTTATTGCCTAAATTGAAATTTATATGGGTCGGATATGTCCCCCCATGACGTAGCTCACTGTTTGCGAACTTCAAACTATTCCAATATTATCAGCCTAAAATAATCATAGTGCACGTAAAAAACAGCTTTGTTTTGTATGTTTAGACAAAACACCATACTTAGAGAGAGCAGAATCAATGCATATTTTATGAGTGAAAGATGTGAATTGTCGGTATAATTTTTGCGATGAGCCCATGCAAACCGGGACAAAATTTACAGCTATGGGGCTACGACGTAAGCGTAACGAAAGTAAGCGATGCAGTCGTCACGCCAACTTCTATTAAAATTGAGGAAATAATTGCATTTTGCTGAGTTCACACAAAGGGTGAGTACTTACAGTGCACGGTTAACGTCGCCGACGCAGAGACTGAGCCAACAATGTTTTCTGATTCGCAAATGTATGTTCCCTCATCCGCGAGAGCGACGTTCTTGATGTGCAAGCTCTTGTCCTCTTGGACATAAGCCCTGAAGGAAAAGTGACACACCTCAGATCTTCTTCACTTTGTTGATCAAGCACTTCACGAAATGTTTATTCAATTGTTGTATTCTAAATAAATGAGAAAATAGCACAAACCAGTGAGACCTGTTTGACTGAACACACGACACGCGTGCTGTTTAAAAATGACGAAGAAAAAAGTGCGAGTAACAAAATACAACAAATCTCACTACACATAGGATATTTAGGACCCATGAAGGAAAGTTATAGCTTTTATTGTAAATATGTGATATTAAAATGTTACTATCGTCGTGTTCATTGCCGTTTCTTTTCCTATTTAGAAATCCCATATCGTAATACGCAGGCAGAGCGATGGCTTTCCCGCATAATGACTACTGTTGAGGAGAAGCAAGCGCAAGTATGGCAAAAGGCAACAGTCTAGGACATTGACGCTCATATCAAAGACGTAAACACCCCTTTCACAAATACATTCCAATGACTTCTGTTGCCACGCTCTTTCCCCGCATCTTGGGAAGCGCATTTATTATTCGCCCTTTTGCCGTAGGTGTGGTTAGATGCGTATGCAAATCCCACGACGTTTTAAAAGGTCCTCAGCATGAGTGCCACTACTACGTGCTTCCAATCCTACATTTTCGTAGGCCGAGAACATTCTCGCGTGAAACGTATGGGTCTGCACAGCTAGTTTCATAGATGTCACAAAGACATATCTGAAACTAGGCTGGTGCATGTTATTGCGTCGCGAAGTATATCCTACTGATGCAAGGCTTCTGAGCAAACCCGAGTTTGCAGCAGTGTTGTTAGTCCCGTGGCTCACCTTCCGACGGGCATCTTGCCATCCTGCCTCCTCCATGTGACCGTGGGTTTGGGGTCGCCATTCACTTTACACTGGAACACGACGGACTCCTCCGCCAGTGACGTCACATCTTCCGGGACTCGTACGAAATACGGCTTCGCTGTAATAGGAAGTGAATATACGGACTGACCGGTGACACTCTTCCTCATATATTGAGCGCACAAGTCTCTAAATTACGTTGCTACCGGACTTTGACATGTTCGAGAGTTTGTGTTTGAATAGTAGAAAGCTGTGAAAAACACCTACACAAGTGATCCCAGCGATGATAAGAATGCGCTGAATATATTATGGGCAGTAAAGGATAAAGAAACACAAAGCACTCCTATCATTTACGTATTCACGTTTTTTTAACGAATTCTTCTATACCTCATGCTAAATCAACACACCCTACTAGGTTAATGAAAAGCAGCACAAAAGTAGATAATGAATCCAAGGAAGCGTGGGGAACGTAAGATTAATTGTTTCAAGTGCATAATAATAATTGTGATATAGATACAGCAAACGTACAAAAAGTTAACTTCCCACAGGCAGGAACCAAACCCACAGTCTTATGAAAAGACAAATAAAAAGTACAATACACTAAAACAGTACAAATAATGTTCACTATAGCTTCCTTGATTTCATCATATTTATTGCTTTTAATTAAAGTTGTGTCAAACAAAGAAACGAGTCGTCGACAATTTTTTTCTACTGGGTTTAAGTGACTCGCTAGCTAGCCAAAGCAGCGACAAGGGCAGCGCGTGTGCCACTGCACTGCGTATATGCATCGTTAAACACGAAGCCATAACACCAACGTCCCGACCGTTTCACGCGAAATGTGCAGAATGAGTGAGCGTCTCTTGTCGACGCAGCGTGACTCTGCTTACTGTGCACGGAGAGCAGCGCAGCCGGCGAGTCCCTGGTGCCGAGCATGTTGGCCGCCCGGCACACGTAGCGCCCTTGATCGGACGGACGCACGTCGGCGATCACTAGCGCGCCCTGGGCCAGGAGGCGTACGCGCCCCGTGCCCGGCTGCACCTGGACGCCGTCCTTGAACCAGGTGACCGTGGGCTCGGGGTGGCCCCTGGGAGGAACGCACTCCAGCGTTGCCGACTCCCGCCCGCCACGTGAATGCTCTTCGGAAGCTGGCGGAACTCGTCACGAAGCACTGCGGATATAAGGGAAACAAGGAGAATTAAGCTCACAGTATTTGGCACACGAACTGAATCGTGCGCGCGTCGTTTATGGCGCACGTGTGACTTCCACTGCGCATTCCCACAGGGTGGCGAGAAATTGGTGACTCACGGAGTCATGCCTAGACATGTGGTTCTACCATGAGAATACATAAACAGCACAGCGTATAACTATGGCTAATGAACACCGTAACCATAAACAACTGAGAAGACTATGCCAAATGCAGAAAATTAGGGGACATTTAAGCTTCGCCTTTAAGGGTTGAACGTGATAGCGAAATCTGGCCCCTAGTGCACCCCTCAACCGCTAAGTACATACTTAATAATATGTTTTGTTGCATACACACGCACGCACACAAACACGCACACAGTAGATTGGACCAGCGCATGCTATCATCACCGAATGGGCTCATTTTCGTCGTGACACCTGTCGAACGAAATTCGTTAAAGAGGCCCTGAAACACTTTTTCAAGTAACCATAGAATGAATTTACTAAAAGAGCTTATTACCTCACGAATTTAACGCCGCAAAAATTTTAGGAATCCATCCAATCCGAGTGGAGTTCAAAGGTTTGTCGCATGCTGCAATTGCATTATCTCTTCTCTCGTCCCTACGAAAGCGCTGGAAGCTAAGCAGGGAGGCGTGGCAGGGCAAAAAAACTACCGCGCCTCGTGACCTCGAGCACTTTTTTTTTCGAATGCGCGGCTTTTTCAGCGAGATCGCACGCGCAAGCGTACACAAGTAGCGGCCTTCAGCGGCTATCTCGGTAACTGGATTTTTCGGTCACAGACGCACAGACAATTTTTCGCTCACAGCCAACGGGGCCAACGGCGGCGACGGGTTTTTTTCGACACGAGCTCTCTAACGCTATTCGCTTAAAACTACTGCGTCAGGCGGCCTTAGTCTGCACACCGGCCACTATCACATGTGCCCGGAGATAACGAAAAATAAATTGCGGCAACTACGCACTAGTGGTGCGAAAAGTGAGAACACAGCAAATGTGGCGGCCTTCCGCACCACCTTTTCCTCTTCCTCCTGTTTTTTTTACAAAGAGTTAATGAACATACACAACGATACGGTGCCGAACAGGCTACGGAACATCTCCTGCACTGCTCAGAAATGAAAGACGACTTCCACATACTGCTAGATCAGGTAAGTGGGAGAGCTTTCATAATGATCAAGAAATTTACCCCACTATCTCACACACCGCTATTACACCAGCCTGCAAGAGCATGGCTGCGATTTTCAAAGTCTGCGTACCGTACTCAAAGTATACATGCAGCCAAAACGGACGATCACGGGAAATGGTGAACAAGATAGAAAATAAAAAAGCAGCTGACCTTTGTATCGTGCGCAACATTTGGTGTGACTGTTTGCTTTGGCCGGACGTAGCCATCAACGTGTTGTACCGTACCGATTGACCATCACAGCACAGAGCAGAAAAGTGTTACTACAGTTGAAGGCATCAGCACCGGACTTCGTCTTGTCCAAATGTTTCCTTCCCTCCCAAGTGCATGCAGGTTATTCAAACAAGCCCAGCCCTGTTCAATTACCATTCATTTATCCATTCCCTCCTCCAGACAGCAAGCTTTTTTGACGATGCATGAACAGCGTAGGCGAAGTTACGGAGTTGCTACATCCTCAATCAGCAAGGGGATGTCATCAAATGCTGCGAAACGTCCAAGAGCAGGCACTATAGAAAAAAAAGGCATCACTCAGGGCCTTGTAAACAGTGTCCGACAGGTCATCAATCTCTGTGGCCATTTATTCCTGCCAGGCGCGGCAGTACGCGGGCATGCAGATGGCGTCGCGCGTGTGCCACTGAGGCGTGGCAGCGCACTGGGTACGACATGGCAGTCTGGCATCGAAGGCGCCTAGCATGCACGTGCGATGTGCGTTGACGTGGATCTACCCACACCGGTCGACCAGCGAAGCGAGAGAAAGACAGATGTGATGCCGATAGGCACGGATGTTACCCAGAAAAAAAAAATATAGTCTGATTGGCTACCCTGCACTGAAGAAGGGGTAAAGGGAGACAAAAAAGTAAGAAAGACAGGAATGAGAGAGGGAAGTATGGAAGTAGAAACACAAACACACTGGAGTGCCACAATCTTTCGACGAGGCGGGTCGACCATCGAAAGTTGTAAGAAAGGGCAGAGGTGTATCACGTACCGCAATATTCGAAAAGCATGAAACACTACTGCAACTAGACGTCTCTATTCCCATAATTTTGTTTATTATAAAACGTATAGCGCTGTCTTTTTCTCACATCTTTTATAGTTGCCGACCCGCAAACATCAGTGCAAGATGAGTGCCGGCAAAATAAAGTGCTCCACTGTATGAATGTGCGTTCAAAAGTATCTTATGTGGTCTGCAGCGTTTTTAGTGCTAAAAATGCCTCGGCTTGATGCGAATGTGCAGAACGCTTGCTGTGCCACCGATCATTGAGGCAGTGTAAAAAACACGATAGGTCCACTCATCGTTCAGGAAATCGATTGACGTAAAAACGAGGCAAGTGTGGCTCATGATCTCAGTTTCTTAGACCTGAGCAAACGTTTGCTTGGTAGAGGTTGAAGTGTACTGCGAGCTGAAGCATCACACCGAGTCATGTCCGTTTCAATGTGCACAAGTAGACTCACTGCCACTCCCTTACGAGGCGGCTACGTGAATCCTTTAAACTTTTCTGGTAGAAAAACATGTCTATTTTTGCAGAGAAAGACTCCCAGCTCTCGTGCTGGGAGAGGTATTCGCCGGGAATGTCTGCCGGCCAGACAAGTGTTTCTTGCTCCCATTTTGTACGTTTTGTTTTCTAAAAGCCTTCTCGAAAAACACACGACAGCCTAAAACTACAGATTCTGAACAACAAACGTGCTGTGCGGTTTCCTCGATAACCTAATATATCGATGAAAAAAGATGAACCAGCTGTAGCAAAATTTTCTTCAGGAGTTTTTCTCACGAGAGTGCGCGAGTGGGCATCGTATATATCGTTCGAAGTTGCTCGCCAATGTTGCCTCGGGCTATTCGGGTCTTGAGTCTCCTCTATAGAACGAACGAAGCCACGACTCTGCTCGGCAAAACATCGTTCTGCGCTCTTCCCTTCCTACCGTCATCCCCCGCCCCTCTTACAGTTCTCTTCATGTTTTTTAGTCAGCTTCAAAACAAAAGAAGATTGAAAACAAGTAGCCCATCACATAACCAGTCTTTTTTAGACGTGATGTATATTCTTCTTTGCTGCCCTCTTTCCAGCACGCAAAGTATATCGCGAAGCAGTTCAAGCTTATATGGCGGCCAAGCAGTGGCGAATTGCTCCTAAAGACATCCTGGAGTTGGCGGGTAGGAGTCCTGCTTTGTTTTACTTGAAAGAACCAAGCTGCTGCTCGGTTGTTTCAATGAACGTCGTCGATTGTGTCTCTTCCCCCTCCCTCTCCAATCCTATTTTCTCGGGATGTGGCTCGCAGCTTTGTCGGCGAGCGAGCGGCACTCCCTAGAATGTCTAATGATGCCCGTGAGTAGAGTTAGTTCCCTTGCTTTTCGCCAACCCTATAGGTGCTTTTTGTTTTTGTTTTTTTTTTCTTGCCCATTTGCCCGTGCGTGTGCCTCTCAGAAACCTACACTGAACCATCGAACTCTCGCTTTTTGCATTAGTGCGCATATTCCTCCAGAGCAACTTTTATTTGCCGTGACAGACATGGAATGATTTTCAACTATGGCTAAAAGTGGCTCATGCTTTTCTCATTATTATACAGCCTAGCTAGCTTCGAATCAATTTGACGAGTTGGAGAAAAAACGCACTCGCATGATCCTTCATATCGTCCTTTTCTGCTCATAATTATTGATAGCTTGAAATTCCCGTCTAGTTTTGAATCTTTCAATTTTGGTTCCCCCCTGAACACATTCGCAATACTCGCTTCTGAAAAGCTCTCAATGGCGAAAATTTAACATAATGTACATAAAAAAGTCCCTACACCAGCACGATATGGCTGGTCTAGAACTTAAAAAAGAACGTTTAGCGTAGAAGCTTATCTAAATATAAGGAAACAACAAATGTCAAATATTATTACATGTACTCAGCGGCAAACACACACGCATAATTTACATAAGCAGCGGAGAAGCTGAATCTGTCATTAAAAAGAGATGCGTATTTTCAACTCCGCAGAAGCCCTTCGTGATTTTGTCAATTTACTACATCAGTTTATGTTAAGCTCAGAGAGAACTATTTCATTGTACAATAAGCCGCTGACAAGCCACAGCTTCTATGAACATGCTTGTAACAACCGAAGGGCAGTTTCATAAGCATTAATGCTAGACCCCTAGCTTCTGTGTGTAATGCTAATGCTTAAATTTATAGCTTGTAATATATCAAGGTCTAGAAGGCTACAAATATACATGCTTTAGTTACCATTTTGTATCTACTGCTAATGCACATTTAGCATTTCAAGAACTAAGAGGACTCCTACAGAAAACGGGCAGGATAGTTAGAGTTAGTGAGTGTTGATAATTAGTCTCCACAAGAAGGCGGCTTCTGTAGTATACTCCCAGCGCTACATGTAGTAGCTGCATCTGCGAAGAAACGATTGCTCATCCTTTGCGTCTGTCCCCATTTCGGTGCTCCAAAACAGGAACTTTCCGATGCGTTAAGTGTACATGACAATCGCCCTGTGTCGGAATAATTAGTTCTGGAACATTGGTCCAGTCTGTCAGTACAGACGCCTTTCAAAGCGTTGTGGCGTTTCTAGCGTACCAGTGGTCTTGTCGAGACTGACTTTAGGCAGTGTCCTATACTCCTTTCCTTTTTCGTTACCTTCCTCTTCTTTTTTGCAACATCTCTTTCCTATCATCTTTTACTCCCTTCCCCTGAACAGAGTAGCCAACCGGTCTAAGAACTGCCTAACCTCGCTGTTTGTCCGCTTCATCATTCCTTCTTTCTTTCCCTATTCGAGCAACTGCAAAATGCAGAAGGTTTGTTACAAAATAG